CATACATACACACACACACACACACACACACACGTACACATGCACCTACATATTTACACACATATACACACAATAAAGCACACACAAAAACACACACATACAAATAAACTAACGAATTTCCATCAGAAACGTAACTACTTTCAATAATATCTTTTAACAGCACAGTAACCATTATTCATGATACGACACCTATATCAAATCTTAGGTGAGGAAATCAGTTACTGTTGCAGCATCGAATGAACCCCATCTTTCCCTCATCGATAAATCCTTTATACTAGCGTACCCAACGACCCAGTAATGTACTCTAACCATTGCAGGTATATCTTTATTGCTTTGTAGAGATAAAGAAAAGACCAAGATACGTGCCATATCGATAAAGTAAATAAAACCGAACGATTGCTTTTACCAACCGAAAGCGTGGTCTGCAACTGAGACCCTCTACAAGTACACCTACCAAAATCCAAACTTGCAAAAGAAAAGCAGAAACAAAAACTAAAGAAGTCATAGATAAGGATTGCGAGCTTAATGTATGCAAAGAGATAATATGTGAATATAATCAAATAGCAGCAAGAGAAAAAAGTTTCAACAACGAGTAGCAGCAACCGGACCTCTCGGACAATAACAGCAACACCACAACAACACTAACAAGAGTGGTTTGAAAAAAGCATAAGCAGGAGTAACACCAAAAATATCGGGATGTAGAATATCTGATACGCTGATGCTAACATGTATCGAAGTAATGATTTGAAGAAGGAGAAGAAGGAGAAGAAGAAGAAGAAGAAGATAGAATGTACTTGGTATAGGCCAATCCTCCACTCAACTGCAAGCTCTGTGTAAAGTAACAAGTACTCACCGATCTATCGCAATGGCCATGAAGGTAAGCACGCTGACCGAGATGGTGCAAGAAGCTATGAAGAACGCGAACTTGCAATACTCCAGACCAAAGAACCAGTCCTGATATAAGTTGAATGTGAAGTGGAAGAGAACGTTGAAGATGGAGATCATCACATCGGCGATGGCTAAGTTGACCAGGAAGTAATTGGTCACCGTGCGCATGCGCTTGTGCGCCAAAACGATCCAAATGACTATGATGTTGCCCCCGGCTGCGATGATGAACATGAGGACGAACATGGTGATGAAGATGGACTGTTGCCACCATGGCAGGATATATCTGTTCTCGCCACAGCCGTCCGTGCAGTTGGAAGGCGCAGCTGTGCTGTTGATGCCACTGTCACCGACACTGCTGTTGGAACTCAACACTCCACTGGCTCCATTAGCAGAAGATGCGTCCAAAGAGCTGTTGTAATTACTCAAATTGAAGAGATCGGGGCGGAAGAGCGGTCCCCCATTAAATGGGAGGGTTGGGTTCAGTTCCATATTGACGACAGCTACCGCCTCGGAGTTTAGATGACGGTCGAGGTTACAGCGTCTCTTTTTACTTAATATAGCTCCGAGTAAAAGTCAGCTGTCTCACATAGAAACTGTGTCCAATTACGCAGAGACACTTGCACAACAAACAACACACGGACTTTCCATTAGGTAAAGAAAATGTGTCAGAATATCCTACTCCGGGATTGTACACGTCTTATCTCACACAGCGCGTGCAACAAGAAAAAAAAAGATATAACTTACAAACAGTCAAGCTGGGTTATCTCGTAACTTTGACAACACTATAATATGAAGTCGTTTAATGCAAATCTGATCACATATGCCGCTTTCTTATCTTCTTATCTTAGAGCACACTATCTGATAAAACAGAAGGGGAATTTGACTGTGTTGGCCTTATCAGGCAATGTCAATGTTAGGTCAGACATGAGGTCGCAGTTAGATTCCAGAGTAAGAATGAAGTTGCTGTGTTCTCTAAACCGTCGCCCAGACAACACGAGTGCCCACAACATAAGTGAACAAATCCTGATTTTGTTGCGTATTTCCACTAGGCATCCAAAACTACACTGCACATTAAAATTTCTCCTTGAACCCAAGAGACGTAGAGACAGTTGCAAAACACATCAGAAACTAGAACTTATCCTAATGCATGTGGCGTCCATCATGGTCCATCGTGAACATGACAAAGGAGAAAGTAGACCGCCCAAGTGTGGTTGTGACAGCTTGCTCTTGCAAACTGACCCGTTCAGAAGCAGGTCTAAAAATGTGGGTGTCCAGACACGAGACGGCTTGTTGTGCTGTGGAGACGAAAGATATTGATCATGTGAACCCTGCAAAAAGGCAAACAGTGGTGTAAATATTTCGATCGGGCATAAACGATGTACAGTCTCGTATTTATATTAGGATATAAAAAAAAGCTCCCTATTGTTTAATTGCTCGGCTCCAAAATATCCATGTATGTTTGAAAACAGGACATAAACAAACTCGTCGTCTACAAGGAAGTCCTAAGAACAACAATAAGAATAAATAATGTAGTAATCAAACTAGCTGCTAAAATGTTTCATTTTTATGTGCGTAATTGCCCATGTATCAAATTCCATTCGTCTAGTTAGGCGTATAAATTCACCGTTAATCTTACAAAATAAAATCACATTTAGCTTGGCTTTGTGGATTTTGTTCTGAAATCTGAACCGTTGTTTAATGTTGTCAGTGTCGTTTCTATAAAGATTATTAGGTGCTACGTTTTAGTTCTCCTGAACGTCAGTTTGTCGGAGCCTGTCGTGTCTCTGTCTACCTCTATCTCCTCCTCCCAATCTCTCTCTCTCCCCCTCTCTCTCTCTCTC